ATAAAAGGGAAATTATGGAAATAAAGGAGACCGCGGTAAATGTTTCATTGCCTATAATTGTTACTCCATCTACTAAATTCCCTAATGTTGTTCCAGTTGTTGTAGAATAAGATGACAACACTGAACAACATTTGAATGAAGAAGTACTCCCAGCAGATGCTAACTTGCAGAATGCTAATGCACAAGAACCACATGAAATAGAATTAAGAAGATCCGAAAGGGAACGTAGGCCAGCTATTTCAAATGATTATGTGGTTTACCTGCAGAAGTCAGATTATGGCATTGGAATCAATAAAGATCCAGTTTTGTTTTCACAAGCCATAGAAAGTATAGAATCCGATAAATGGATTGAAGCTATGAAAGAAGAGCTAAAATCCATGGATCAGAATGATGTCTGGGATCTCATCGAATTACCTAAAGGTTCCAAAAGAGTCGATTGTAAGTGGGTCTTTAAGATGAAACACGACTCTAATGGTAATATCGAACGATATAAAGCTAGACTTGTTGCCAAGGGTTATACTCAGAAAGATGGCATTGATTATAAAAAGACATTTTCACCTCTCTCGAAAAAGGATGCATTAAGGATAATTATGGCATTGGTGGCTCATTATAATTTAGAGCTACATCAAATGGATGTGAAAACAACCTTTCTTAATGGTGACCTTGAGGAGAAAGTTTATATGGATCAACCTGAAGGTTTTTCCATGGAAAATGAAAGAAAATTAGTGTGTAAACTCAAGAGGTCAATATATGGGCTTAAGCAAGCATCCTGACAATGGTATATCAAGTTCAATACCATTATTACATCTTTTGGATTTGAGAAAAACACTTTTGATCGGTGTATTTACCAGAAGATCAGTGGGAATAAGTTTGTTTTCTTAGTTCTTTATGTTGATGACATCTTACTTGCTGCAAATGATTTGAGTATATTGCGTGAGACTAAAGAATTTCTCTCAAAGAATTTTGAAATGAAAGATATGGAAAATGCGTCCTATGTGATTGAAATAGAAATATTCAGTGATCAATCACAAGGATTGTTGGGACTATCTCAGAAAGGATATATTGAGAAAATTCTAGAGAGATTTAATATGGGTAAATGCTCACCTGGAGTTGTTTCTATACAAAAAAGTTATAAATTTAGTCTCATGCAATGTCCAAAAAATGATGTTGAACGGAAAGAGATGGAATCAATTCCATATGCCTCTATTGTGGCAGCTTAATGTATGCTCAAACCTGTACTCGGTCGGATATCAATTTTGCAGTCGGGATGTTAGACACATATCAAAGTAATATAGGAATGGAATATTGGAAAGCTACAAAGAAAGTTTTAAGATACATTCAAGGCACGAATGATCACATGCTCATGTACAAAAGGTCCAATGAATTATAAGTAATTGGATATAGGGTTGGCAAAACGGGCCAACCCGGCCTGGGCCGGCCCAACTTGCATTCAACCCAAAAAAATGAGCCGGGTTAGGGTGGCTAAAAAAAAGAGCCAGAAAACCCCACCCAACCCAACCCGAGTCGGGTTAGGGTTGGCTCGCGGGTTGGCTAAAAAATATGGCTCATGCGTTGGCTTGAAAAAATAGTTCGCGAGTTGGCTCGAAAATTGGCTCTCGGGTTGGCTTGAAAATTGCTCGCGGGTTGGCTCATTTTCAACTTATTTAAATGACCCTATAATATTAATGCATCAACTATGTGGCTTCCATCAGCTTAAACAAAGGGTTACAAAATGAGAAATAAAAGCAAAATATTTTATTTTCGAATTTTCTTCACAACAAATTTGCATCAACATCAAGAAACAATCAGAACCACTTGCTACCAAGTGGGTAAGACATTTGAACCAAACAGAGCCAGGACAACCTAACAATATAAAATGGCAGGGATTGAGAAGATTAGGGACTTAGGTTTAGAGAAGGAAGAAAACTGATGACAACATGTGTGGGTTTTGTCCAATTTTGTATATTATAATTTGTATTTTTTTATAAAAAAAAAACTCAACTCGCGAGCTGGCTCGTTTGACCCGCGGGTTGGCTTATTTTTTCACGAGCTGGCTCGGGTCGGGTCGGGTTGGCAGCTCATTTTTGTCAACCCAACTCGGCTCATTTTTGGCGGGTTATGAGCCAACCCTAATTGGATGGGTTGGCTCGTTTTTGCCAACCCTAATTGGATATACTTACTCAAATTTTGGTGGATGTCTTTATAGTAGAAAGTCAACCTTTGATTACTGTTTTATGTTTGCCCAAGGAGCCATATCATGGAAAAGTGCTAAACAGACTATCGTTGCTTCATCCACTATAGAGGCAGAATTTGTGGCATGTTTTGAAGCCACATCTCATGCATTATGGCTGCGGAACTTTATTTCAAGGCTTGCAGTTGTCGACACTATTAGCAGGCTGCTGAAAATTTACTCTGATAATTCTGCAATAGTATTCTTTTCTAAGAACGAAAGATACTCTAAAGGTGCCAAACATATAGAGTTAAAGTATTTTTCTGTTAAAGAAGAGGTTCAGAAACATAGAGTGTCAAATATGCACATCAGAACCGAACACATGATGGCAGACCCTTTGACGAAAGGGTTACAACCAAAGTTATTTAAAGAACATGTTGAAAGTATGAGCCATGGTTGTATTAAAGATTATTGATGTGTGACACTCTGAGCTCACCTATGTGTTTCTGACATACATTATGTTTCCTTGTTATTTATAGTAGTATACACATTATGAATTTTGATAATGAAGTCTTTATAAGACATTATGTGGACCATTATGTTTCCTATATTATGAATGTTATATGACAGATTGTTGGTGTTGTAGTATATGGAAGGGAATGTACTGAATTAATAGTGCACTACCGCCATAACTCACACTTGACAATTTATCTTTTTATGATGACTAACGTTAGAGATGAACATGTATATTATGATTAATCGAGCTAAGTGGGAGAATGTTAGAAATATTAAGAGTCAATTATAATATTAAAAGGATTTTATTATAATTATAGTATTAAGACTCTTAATATTACCCATCAAACGTTATCTGGCTCAATTAATTACTGATGCATTTGATCTCAATCATTGATTTGGTATATGACGGACGTATCAAATTATAAGTTGTATATATATATATATGTGTGTAGGCGTAGGATCCTTTGACACCGGTGTCAAATTTGAAGTTTGACACCTCATTTGAGAGTTGTTAGATAAAAAAAGATCAATGGTATTACATGCTTACAACCTTAATGTCATTCTTTCCATCAGAATACATATCAAAGTAAAGAAGACTTAGAGAGAGAAACTACCCCAACACAATTGCTCACAAGATAATGACTGCTGTTAATCCTTCATCGTCGTTTCCGGATATATATATTTTCAAAATTCTTTATCATGTTCTTATTTTATAATTTATGAACATGCAAACTTACGATCTCAACTTCCATACTTAGCTTAAAAAATTAGGAAAATGTACATGACTTCTCACACTCGGGTTTCAGGTAAGATATACACTTTAATATTTTTATTATTTTTTAATTCGGAATCATTATTTTAGTTAATATAATTCTATTTTTTCTTAAAGTTAATGATTAATTAAAATTAAACACACCATTATTAGTCTGCATTGAAATCAAATTTAAATAAGAAAATAAAGAGATGATTGATTATTAAAAAAAAAATTAAGAAAAAATTAAATACCAAGTAGTAAATTATCTTTTTATTATACCCAAATTCTACGACGATGACCTTTTATATGTAGGGATAGGTTATTCTGCCTACTCCCTTCTTGTCTACCTTTTGCCTACCCCTTTGATCACTGTTGGATTACAATCTAATCCAACGGTCCATAATTGCGAAATAAAATAACCTTTTTTTTTTCTTTCTCTCTCCTCACTTCTTCCCACACCCTTTCTCTCTCCTCTCATTTCTCTCTTCTCTCATTTCTCTCTTCCTCTGCGATCCGGACACATCCTTTTGATCTATCGATACTTTTTTCCCCCTTTATCTCTGATCTCTGCCGAGGTGAACGTGCGCAGAAGCATTATGCGATTCATCTACCACAACATTTGAAATTATAAACATAAGTAAATGAATAATTGAATAATAAGAACATGCTTGTTCGACGTGAGTGCACTTGGGCTATCTATACAGTAGGGAACAAACTCATTCTGAAACAGTTGTTTGTCTTCTCCAGTGCACAAATTTCCAACTTTTTCTGCTCCAATTCCCAATCTTTTTCAGTTCTATAATTTTTCCACTATCTTACAACAATTCATCTAATTTCTTTCAATTTTGCTTGAAGAATCCTTGCGTTTTTATTTGTTAGGGACGACGTTGTTTGTTTTCTACTTTTTCAATTCATCTACTTTTTCAATAGTTGTTTGTTTTCTTTCAATTCATCTAATTTCTTTCACCAGCTATGAAGAAAAAAAAAAAGAGACGGCGTTGAGGAAGAGAGAAAGGGGGGAGAGAGAAAGGGTGTGGGAGGAAGCGAGGAGAGAAAAAAAAAAGGGTTATTTTATTTCGTAATTATGGATCGTTAGATTAGATTGTAATTCAACGGTGATGGAAGGGTAGGCAAAAGTAAGCAAGAAGGGAGTAGGCAGAATAACCTATCCCTTATATGTATATTAAAAAATATATTTAAAATCCATAATATTATCCAAAGAATCCTAAGTTTGATTCATGAGAATTACAGAATGATAGAAAAATTCAATTCCAAAATTAATTTAGTAAGATCTAACATTTTGGAAAAGAACAAGGAATTTAATCCGGATATTAAATCAATTAGACCCAGTAGGATATCAGACATTAATTGACATTAAAAAAAAATATTAAAAGGAAAGAAAAAATTGGTAAAAAAATCAAATAATGAATGGATTTGATCATATGAAATTTGTGACCCTTACACTGTTACACACCAACCCTAGCAAAAGAGACATTACGATGACCCTTTTTATCTTCTTTGTCTTTATTACATTGAAGATTTGAGGACCGATATAATCTCAATGTTCCCTCTAATATTGCTCCTCCTCGTTCTTTCCTTATGAGGAGAGAGAAATAAATTTGGGAGAGAGAAAAACAATGGCGTTTTCTATATCTTTCCTTATCTTATGGTAACGTACACCTTCTCTTCTTTTTTTCTGACCCTTTTTCTTTCCCCTCATCAAAGCGGGAGGAATTAGAGGAGGAGAAAAGAGGAAGAAGATTCTGGAAGCTGCCATATAGTTTTTTGTTTTTTTTTTTGTTTTTCTGAGCTTGAGAGAGTTGTAACCATGGATTCATCGTCTGTATCCAACGATGTCGCTTCTGGGTTTGAGGACAAGGAGTCAATGGTTGACCCTTTTTTGGTTGAGGCTCTTCAGAACCCTCGTCACCGTCTCACAAGTTAGTGCTTTCTCTGTCTCTCTTAAATCTTAATCTCGTATCATAGACCATGATGTTTGTCGTTTTTTATTTTATGTTGTTCGGTTTTTTTTTTTTTTAGTGTTCTGATTGATGGGTATGCTGCAAATTAATTGCTTGAAGTGGATTTAGCGTTTTTTTCTTCTTCAAATTTTTGGTTATGATTGTTTTCATAAAATATATTTTGGGTTTAGGTTTTATAGATATGAAACTAATTTTTGCTTTTATTTATTTTTATTAATTTTTGGGTTAGGTATAGGTATGTCATGTCAGATCTGGGATTCTTCTGGCAATATCTTATGCAATTGAGATAATTGAGATTAACATAAAATTAAGATTCTGAATGTGATGTTCAATGTTGGGGTGTTTCAATGGGAATGAGAAATTTGGACTACCGGGCTACCGTGAGTGAAACTAGATGGTAGTTGGGTGTTGAATTCCACCCATTTATATTACAGAAATTTGGTGTATGACACAGCACAATGGCATCATTTGGTCCATGTAGCGGATCTAACCCAGTAGTATAAGGCATTTTTTTTTGGGGGGGATTAGATACCAGCTAGTGTTTTGTTTCAGGTTTGAGTCTCTTCACCCTCCCTAGGAGTTGCGACTCCTAAGAATCGAACCCACTACCCTTTGGTCAAATCAAGTATTATAAGGCTTGCTTGTTGTTGTAATAGGATCATTTGCTCACCGCAGATAACTTCTTTGTGTAAAGGATAAAATGTAAGTGGTTTATGTTTGCTCCATATAAATTTGATGGTTTAATTTGGAATAATAAGAGAATCAGCTTAATTTCTAAAAAAATGGGCAGATTGGTGCTATAAAGGTGCTATAAAGCTCCCACTGTGTGCAAGATCTAGGAAAGGGTCAGACCTATTGTGTGGGTCTATAGTAAGCTGTCTTATCTTGTATTTGCAAGAGTTTGATTGCATGAATTGAACTTGTGACCTCTGGGTTACATGGCGACCATACCCTCCATGGTGCCAAGGTTCCCCTTCAATAAGCTTAATTTCTGATGTTAAAAATTTCAATATTAATGTAGCATTTTTTTGCTTTGAATTTTTAGAAAGATATCACCTACTGTTGCCCAATTACTATAATCATCTTTTCCAAGCAAAATCTGTCTTTTTGTTTCCTTTGGTACCTGTGGAAATCATGGTCATGTGGATTTTGTATCAAAAGGAATAGAGCCTGAGAATTTGTTGTTTTCCTTGTACTATATATATATATATATATATAGGGTTTGGTGTTTGTTCTTTTAAGTGAGAGAAAGAGATACACGATGGAAATCATGGGGGAGAAAGTGAGTTTTTTTTTTTAAATTTAAATTTTAGATAAAAAACACTAGTTTTAACTAAAATGACCATCCTTTAAAAGGACAAACATTTTCCCCATATTTATAAGCTATTTTGGGCCATCTGGCTGAAATCTCTTCTCTATGTATTTTGGGGCTTGAGTGGTAGAGGACTCTTGGATTAGGATTTAGGAGCTTTCTAGGAAATGAATAGGTTTATCTTTGATCATATGTTTGTCAACATTCATTTTGTTATGTCTGTAATTTCCCCTACTAATATCTTCTCTGGATGTGTTTTGGGTTATTTGTTTTCAGTTTCCCCCATTATTATATATCATGATATTTTTCTTTTTCATTGTCTACTCTTTATTCCTCAACTTCAGTTTTGCGGATGGAGCTGGATATTCAGAGGTTTCTGGGTAATGCTTATCAACAGCATTTTGAGTTTCAACATTTCCCTTCTTCCTATCTCAGACTGGCTGCTCATCGTGTTGCTCAACACTATGGTTTGCAAACAATGGTTCAAGATAACAGCTTAGATGGCCAGGGAACTAAGATTATGGTGAGAAAGTTAGCAGAAAGCAGGTATCCTGTGGTCTGCTTATCTGAAATACCTGCCAAACAATTGGAAAATGGTAAACCTGAGCAGATGAAAATTGCCATAAGGCCTAGGCCTAATAAAACCAGTTTAAGTGAAGCCAATGAAGCTGGGGGCAAAGGCAATCCTCTGAGAAGTGTAGAGGAGAGGAAAGAGGAATATGATCGGGCACGGGCACGAATCTTTAGTAGCTCTAGAAGTTATGATTCAGGTGATACTCTGTCCCAGGTCCCAATGGATGAGAAAAATTATTTACTGAGCAAGGATGAGAATGAAACTAGCAAGAACCCTATGGCTGATTATGAAAAATTCACTAGTAGTAGGGATATTAGTTCTACTCGAGTTGCCATTTTCAGAGATAGGGAAAAGGATCGTAGTGATCCAGATTATGATCGTAACTATGGAAGGTCAGTTCTATCACTGTTCTGTATTATTTGTTTGAGAGCTGTCTTGGTATTGAATTCAAAAGCTGCAAATATATGGTTATTTGGCCTTTTTGCTGTGTTGTATTCAGAATTAGAAACCTGTATGGTAATAATGCATTTATATGAAAAAATTGCACCCACAATTACCTCTAAAATAATTAATTTTTTTAATAATTTTTGTTAAATTAATTGTTAAAAAATCCTTAATTGATGAGGGAGTTAGTTTATTGCGAGGGAGTGCGGAGATGTGGGATACAACTCAAGTGGAGTGTTTTTTTAAATAATAATAATTAAGTGAGAGTAGTTTAGGTAAATTATTTTTATAAAACCTTTTGGGGTTCACTCAAGTTGTTGTGGATTTCTAAATCCTGTTAAGTGAAAGTAAAAAGCTATTTTTGCATGAGAGGGATGGAAGAGTTATGGATTGCATTCTGTTATTGGGCTGGCATAAATCAAAACCACTGATGGCTCTAGATTTGAGAACTTACTCTTCTAATGTTTATAGATGTTTTTAGTTTCTTAAAATTTTTCTCCATGTTTGGAACTTGATGTTTTAAATTGGGTTTAATTTTTTATATGAAGAGTTTGTTTATTTATCAGATTGTATTAGCTATGATTAAAATACCGCCGCTTTAGCTCACTATCGCGCTTCAGTTGTGCGTTGCGGCACCCAGTTGCTACTTCCGCACTGCAATGCGTTGGTTTCCGGTAGCGGCTGGTTTCGGCGGTGGTGGACGGTAGTTACAGGGAAAGGAAGAGGAGTTACAGACATCTAGGTAGAAAACAAAACGTCGAAAGCATGGGTGGCAGCGTTTTGTAAATTGAGTATCATTTAAGGGTATAATGGGAAAAAGCCAGGATAAGTGAGGGGTAAAATAGATATTTACTTGCGACTTTTTGGGGAGACTGAGTGCTATATGCTCACTCCCAATGAGACAATCAGGACCGTTCAGCCAACTGACAAGCATAAATGCTTTACAGCTGGTTCCCACCGCCCCAAGTCAATGTCAACCGTGGATAACAATTCATCCAACGGTTCCGCTAGCGATCCGCGTGAGGCACTTTTTCACAATCCTAGTGGTTGCCAAGAGGTTCTGGAAACTTCCATCCTCGTGGACCAACATGGGCTTCATGGGGAGGAGGATGTAGTGGATCTGACACATGTTGAGCCCATTAGTGAGATCTCTCATAAGGATAATGAGAAGACTGAGCTGGACCATAAAAGAGTAATTAAACAACCCAAGGCCGTTACCAAATAGAATAAGGATTTTATTTGGTCTCTGTAATCTCTTTTCCATGACGAGCAAAATGTAACATAGTAAAATACTGTGATACACTCTGATTAACTTATTGGTGTACCATTTTACTTGTAGGAGCTAAGTGCAGGATACCACTGTATTGAGTCTTTACCTTGGGGGAGGATTTTAGTTAGGACGCTTTCTTCTTAAAAAGCACTACCTTAGATTATTGCAAATGAGTGTTTCATACTATCGTTTATGTTTCTAGAATGTTATTAATTTTGTTACTTTCAATGAACTAGTATGTTGCTTCCTTTATGTTCCTTGAATCCTTGTTTTGAATGTGTAGTATTATACTTTCCATTCCTCATTTCCTCCTATTTTGGGTGATTTCTTATCTTATAGAATTTTATATAGCATTTATATATGTGGTATAATTTATTATAATTATTTATATGGACTTCACAGTAGCGGCTTTACTGCTACCCGCTATACCGCTATAGCGATTTTGGGGTCGACCGCTACCCGCTATTTAAAACTATGTTATTATGTTACTTATTCAGGTATGCAAGGAGTATTCCAGCCTCTTCCCTCAACTTGGTGCCTTTTAGTATGCAACAAGTTCAACCTTCATTCGCACAGTATGACACTACTTTTAATCAGCTGAGTCAGATGTCACAAAATCAAGCTTCAATTGGCTATGGACCTCCTTCAAACCTGGTAATGAGTCCTTTTGGTGTCACGGGATTGAATCAGACAACTAGGGATGCTGCTTACCTACAATGGCCGAGTGCTGCAATTATGTATGCACATTCATATGACCAATTTAGACATGCTGTTTTCCAAGTAAGCCACGGTTAATCTACTTAATTTCATTACACTGTGATGAGTGTTTCTTGTATTTTAGCTTTAAAATACCAGGGCATGTTAGAAATAAATTTATAATTTTTTTTATCAAATTTAAGTTTTGTGGGTTAAGGCTATTGATATGACCTGTAAAAGTGCAATGTCTCATTTTCTTTATCTAGATTACTACTTATTTCTGGTTTCTTCTTTCAGCTTACATGTGTGTTGGATATCTTGCCTTTGCAATCTTTCATTTTCTTTGGTCATAGATTTGTATTGTTAGTCTTTTTTTATTTCTTCAACTTCTACTAGTCAAATTGTGTTGGGGAGGTAGGTGTAATCATGGGTGTCAAGATTGAGTGCACGATCCTACGAGTTTTTCCACCATGAATGTGCCAACTCAATTGCAGAATCGTGAATGAATGAATGAGTGGGATCACATGATCATTCTGTTTCGGATGATTCACGAAAATACCCGTGTCTGAGTATGGCGAGTGTGAGAGAGAGAAAGAGAAGAGGGCAGGAGTTGGAGACGACAAACGGTTGTCTTTGGAGACCAGATCAGTGATGAAGAGGACAATGCAAGATATGGAATAATCTGGCTGCAATCTGCCATGAGAGAGAGAGAGCATTCGTTGTCGGAGACCAGATCAATGATGAAGAGGGCGATGCGAGATGTCTAGTCCTCCGGCTACAATCGGCCATTAAAGAGAGAGAGAATAATCTTTTTGTCACTTGGGCCTTTGAAGAGAGAGAGAGAAAGAGAGAATTGTCTTTTTCTCTTTCGAATAACTCAGCCACATGTTTCGAGTCTCACTCCTTTTTACTTTTATTTTTAATTATTATTTGAATTTGCAGTTTTTTATTTTTGTTCCTTTTTTCTTTTTTGTCTAATTTAATTATCAGATTAAAACTTTTTATATAATTAATAAAAAACTGATTGTTAAATTGCCCTTTATAGTTTTGAAGTTTTTAATTAAATTTAATATGACTTTCAATATTGTTTTTATTTGTTATTTTCTATATATATATATATATGTTTTAAATATAATTTTGTATATTAAGTAAGATTTTACATCCGTGTTAATCTTACAATTTACAATCTTTCTACTCCCTACAACCTTGGGTGTAATGAAGGTTGGAAATGGGAGATATTCACATCGAATTTGTGTTTCTTTGATACACATGTTGCTCTTGAATGTTGGGTATTTGATAAGTGTCAGGCTAGGTTAAAGAATTTGTTACACTTCAGATTGTTAGAATTCTGTTTACCGACAACGATTAAAACATCTTGTTTTCTCTAGAAGTTTGCAGAATTGAGTTTATCTTCTGTCATGTGTCTTATCTATATTTTTGCTTGCTTTGCAGGTTCCATTTGGTCAACAGCCATTGAGCTTTGATTATTCGCAGAATTATTAGATGACATTTAGGGGTGATTGTTTTCCATTTGGATCATTTTAGCTTTTAAGGATTTCAGATTTAGATATATTTTTTCTGTACTTTCGTAGACCCCTGTTCCTGCTGTAGTCTATATCTGTATTTGGTTTTTCAGTCTTGATGGTTGCAGTAATGAGTTTGGTATTTGGTACTTTTGGTGGCATTTATGGTACACTCAACTGTAGTGGATTACTGGATTTAAAGTATATGAAGAGATACAAGTGGTGATTTTCATTACCTTGGTTATTTTTAGGGAGGCTTAAGTTCATTCTCTTTTAAGTTCATGCAAATCATCATTCTCCATTAAACCCTGATTAGCAACAGAGTAGGAATAATGGTAATCTACAGTTTTACCCTTGGATATTTGCAACAAGATTTTTTTTTTGAATTTGAACCCGTGACTCAAATAGTGATTTTATAATTTCTTAATGCATACCATTCATTTAATTACATTATGAATTTATTGATCTGCATCCTATTCATTCAATTCCATTTTGAACTGGTTGATCTACATCCTTGTCTATGTTCTGATTACTATAGTGGTTTTGGGTGCAAAGGAACGGAAAAGAGGGAAAGGATTGCACCATCCCTTGTTTGATATGTAGTGAGGAAGAGAGTTAGATGAATGCATTATGTGAGATTCACACGTTTTACATCCCTCTCGATGTAGAGAGGAATAAAATCAAAAGAAAATGATTCTTTTTTATTTCAATGCACTTCATATAAAGTAAATAAACCCTATAATATAAACTAAATTAATTAATAGAAATAAATTAAATTTAATTCATTATCACTCCTAAATTAAATTAAGAGTAAATACTTTTTTCGGTTCTCAGCAAATTTTGCGATGCTCGTCTGGCAAATAAAAAGGATAAAAAGGTTTATCGTGATTTTTAAAAAATTCAAAATGGGTCTATTTGAGGGACTAATATGGCTCTTTTTTGAATTTGTGAAGAATCATAATTTTAACTAAGTCCATTTTAAATTTCTTAGGGACTATTTGTTAGGGACTAAAGCGGGTATTGTAAAATTTGCTGAGGATTAAAAGTGGTATTTACTTTTAAATTAAATTACTTAGCAGTTCAAAAAAAATTTAACTTAACATAAGCTAAATTAAATGAAATTAATTAACATTCCTAAAAAGTTATAAAATAATTTAAATTAATAAAGAAAAAATTAAATTAAATTAATTAACAGTTAAAAATAATTTAACTTAACATAAATTAAATTAAATTAAATTAAAGTAATTAACACTCCTACATTAAATTAAATCAATTAACACACATAAATTAAATTAAATTAACAGTCCTAAATTAAATTATTTTAACATAAGTTATTTAAAACTAAACTATTCAAATCAATATTAATTTTTCTTAAATTATTTTATTTCAAAATACAAAATTCAATAATTAAAATTATACTATAATTTATTAGACCACAATGATGCAAGAAATGAGAAAGGAAGTGGTGAATTTATAGTGGTGAATTTATTAGACCAAAAACACTAGACTGCTAGGCTACTTACACATAATATGCTATGTAGCACATCATGTATGGCCATGTGTCAGAAAAGTTGACATGTAACATGCTATGCAGCATAGTGAGTTTGATACGTTTCAGACACGTAACACGCCAAGCTACCTAGCGTTTTATGCCGCGTGGCAAGCTGTGGCAGAAGCTGTCTGCCATGTAATCTCGCTGCACTGTGCAGCGGCTGACGTGGCCATGAACATGTTGTCATGTGTCATCACCTAACTCGTTAGGTGTTGTAGCGAGTTAGGTCACGTGACATTTTGGAGAAAAAAATAAATTCAATCTGTGGGATTCAGGTAATTTTGTGAATAGTGTGGCATTTTCGTCGTTATCCCGTTATTAAAGAGAGAAGAATTGTTTTTATTTTATTTTTTATTAATACAAAAGATATAAAGAGATGAATTTTGTATTCTTTTTTATTTTATTTTCTGTTTGTGATACTAAATATTTCATGTGGGGAGTTCGATAGATTACTAAGGGAATGTGGGTTATTTAAGGGAAACTTTAGGAAACCCTTCGGTAGTTAGATTTTTGGATTAAACAATTGTTTTGAGTTTTTCTTTGAAATTCGAAATTCAGCACTCTTTTCTTTTCATCTTCTTCTTCTTTTTTTATTTTATTTTAAATGATGTTTAACCTCGCGATACTAGGCTAAACACCTTTAATTAATCTAAGGATTAAAGGCTCGTTAGATTATTTCAGAGTATCTGTTTTAACCTTTCAAATCAATTTCATTTTTTTCCAATTCACATTGAATATCAAGCGATTGTAGATATTCAAACTGATAATGCGATGGCATTCTATAAAGGAAAATTGATCATTAGATCTAATGGTCAGATTAATTAACCCAATAAACATAAGTTGAACAGGCTTAAACTATCGCGATTGCATAGTTTAAATACTGTATTCAACCAAATGCTAGGCGATAGTCTAGAGAGGATTTCCAATTGAATTTGAGGATTCCGAATTCAATTGGGGTTAATCACAAATTGATACTTTTATTTTTATCCAATGACGAAATAAATTAATGAATCCTAATTCCTTACGTTGATTGCTTTTAGTTCTGATTTTTAAATTCCAAATTTAATTATGTTTTTATTTAAATCTCAAATCAACAAAATCCCCTTTTCGCTTTTTATATTCTATTTTACAGAGTGTTTTTGATTTCTAGCAGGTTCTTTGGGAGACGATCCGAGTTGCCCTATCACTACAAACCTAAAGCTCGGTAATTTGCGTGGGTTCGACAATGCACGTCAAAAGCGTTCTTCTTCTTTCCCTTCTTCTTTTTCTAATTTTTCTGTTTTCTGTTTTTGTTTCTTCTTCTTCTTCTTTTTCTTTTAATTTTTTTTTTCTGTTTCTGTTAAGAAAAAAAATTCCATTTTCTGCAGTTTTCGTTTTGGGTTTTCTGTTTTTTGTCTTGTTTTCTGTTTACATCTGTTTCATTTTTCTGCATCTTTTTCGCATTAATTCTGCATCTGCATTCTTTTTGCGTCTGCATTTGTGTGCGTTTTGTTCGTCTTGTTTCTTGTTTCTGTTTTTGCATTCGTGTGTGTTTCTGCATCTGTGTTCTGCACCTCTGTTTCTGCATCGAATCCTGCATCTGTTACTGCATCTTGTATCAGTTATTGCTTTCTCTGCATTACAATGTGCATTTTTGGGCAATTTCGGGCGATTGGTCAAACTTTTGTCTAAGAGATTAGTCTCAGGAGTTCAATTCTCAAAAGAATTTGACCTTCTGAGCATAAGTCACGCCCTATAAGTGCGTTTGATCGCCTTATTTTTGCCAAATTCTGCCGTTTCTAACCCGTTTTGGTGTTTCTTTGTCGTTTCAGGACGTATCGTGTAATATTTAAAATAATAATAATATATATATAATATTAATAAAATATATAATAATAATAAATAAAATATAAAATATCTTAAATATTTTGATAAAATATCTTCGATATTTATAAAAGTAATGATTAAGATTCCTTATATATTTATAAAAATAATGATTAAGATTCGTTAGATATTTATAAACGTAATGATTAAGATTCCTTAGATATTTATAAAGGTAATGATTAGATTCCTTAGATTTTTATAAAAAGTAATGATTACATTCTCTTTTCAAAATCTATATAAACAACCCCCGTTTAGAAACTTAAGAAGAAGAAGAAGAAGAGAGAGAGAGAGAAAGAAAGGAAAAAGAAGAAGAGGAAGAGGAAATGAAAAAGAAAGAAAGAAGAAAAAGAAAAGGGAAGGTAATAGTGGGAGTAAGCAACACATCCTCTCCTTTACTTTTAAAGTTAATTTTTAGATATTTTAGAAAGCTATGTTGGTTCTGTTTTTATCTGTCATGTTGAAAGTTGGCATTTTAAAGTTATTTCTTTAAAAGTTATGAATAAGTTGTTACTCTGCCAAAATTATTTTATTAATTCTTTTTACTCTTTTACTTTATTTTCTATATTTGGCTTTGTGAATTTGATGAATTTACTAGATATGAGAATGATCTTGAATCAAGTTTATAGAAACTAAAGAATTTCTTTGGTGCCAAATGAATATTAATGGAATATGTAATCTTTTACTGAATGATCTGATGTGACAGACCCACAAGGGGATCAAAATGGTTATAGGGTAAGGGACGTCTTATCATGGCTTGAGCTCCGCTATACAGAACCTTTCACATACAGAACCCACATAATTTGGGCGCTCCAGAATTGAGCATTAGTCATTTCAGTTAAAGATTACATTTTCCTATATATGTTTGTATCTAGAACCAACAAAGTTTGGGTAGAACCCACAAAGGTCTGGGCTTATATTTATTGTTTATGATATTATTTTCTTATTATGGATTTTATTCATTGAGAATGATATTTTCCACTAAAGTGGCTGGATTGGTTATAGTTCGAAAACCCCAATATTACTGAGATTTATCTCACGTGTGTTTGTTTTTATGCTAACCTTCCCAGAGTAAACAGGTCAGTATGTGTAGCTTTGGAGTAGGGTAAAGCACTATGGTTAAAGACTTTGAAGACTATACGGAGCTTAGTGGAGCAATTAAATAAAAAAAATATTTCTTTTCAGTTTAGATTATGATGTATTTCTGATGTAATAGTGAACTTGACTTTTGTATAATTATATTTTAAGGGTATTTTGTCATATGTCTTATTTCATATCTGTTGCATTAGAATTTCATTCTAATTCTCGTTCTCTTATTTAAAATAAGATTTAAGAATTAATGTGATATCCTCTATCCTAGTAAGTTGTAGAGGATGTTACATATCGAGTATTTTTGCACTTGTTCAACTTGCTCTGATCGCTCTGAAAATTGGTGACGTGAAGGAGGCGATCATCCCAGTCAAAAGTCCCTTCATGTTGAATGCCCAATTTTAGCCAAATTCCTTTGTTTATTATTTTATTTTATTTTTTTTAAAAAATATTTGATTTTTGAGTCCGTAGGGTCGATTAGACTTTAGGAGAGTTGGTCCCATAGCGTTCTGAGGTCGTTTGGTAATTTTCGTAGATTTATTTTTGCTTCTGTTTGTTGTTTTCGATAGTTTTTGTGTCCTATCGTATGTTTTGTGATTTTACTGCTGTATGCCTATGCCTGTGATGCATGACTAGGAGTACTACCAGTGTTGATGATTTATATTCATATGACCCTGAGATAGAGAGATCACTACATGCTGCTATTAGAGTTCGTAGGTTGACTTACAGTA